ACACACACACTCACAGACACACACACACTCACACACACGCACAGACACACACACGATGTGCAAAACTCTGCATTTGAACAGTCAATAGCAAATACTTCAACTAATAACAAAACAGTAGCTGATTCAGAAGCTCCAGATTGTCATAGCAAAGTCAGAATTACCTCCTCTCCTAGGTTCACGAAACGGTCGTCCATAAAATGCATTGCTGTTCTGTTGTAAGTAATCTTAAAGATTCCTAATTGCATCTACTTTCGGAAGGCCAAATAAAGTGCTTTTGCTTTCGCCTAGAAACACACAGCGTCTCCCTGACATGCTGCTTCAACACTAACTGCGGTTACTGAAACCACGCCTTCTTTCTTTGCGTGAACATTTGGGCTGCATTATGCTAATATTTCCACATAGTGAGGTAGATATGTGGGGGAATGTTAGAGCGAGCCGTTTTAGGGGGGCGTGGCAGAGTCTTAACTTTGATAAAGAATATCTCTTTGGTTTTGAGGCTTTAGTCTTTGCAACTTCAGGGATCTTATCTATGCACAATCAGCTTGTAACACTCCAAAGAGAAAGGAAAACTTGAAATCGCATCATATGACCCCTTTATAATCTAGGGGGAAATTGTGTTTAACCGCCATGAAAACCATGTCAAATTGCAAAAAATCTATATTTTCTATAAGCATGTATATTTTCTTATTTTCTGCGATCAAACTAGACCCAGGTCTGGCCTAGACTTTCCCCTGGCTAATATACTGTGGCTGAAGTTAACTATATTTGACATAAACCAACACTCATGATAATGGATCGCCAACACTGTCGAAATCATTGCTATAACTGAACTCAATGGAGTTGCATTAAAACCTGCACATGGATGACGGAGCAATTCTGTATATGCATTTTCCAGCGTATGAGAATCTAATATACTTTGGCTGTAGGGGCAAAAGTACTGAGCTGTATCAAATGTTAGCCAGTGGCGGCTGTAATGACAGCGTCTGACAATGTTGAATGCAATTAAAGCGAGGGAATTTACAGCTCAATGATGCAGAAAAATGGTGTTATTGAACAGTATTCATAACCAAGTGAAACCAAGGAAAGGATACAAAAGGAAAACGATAGTTTTAGAACAACATGGTTACGTAAAGTGACCAGCAAGACAAAATTACATATGCATACACAAACATTATATGTTTGCATAGATATGATCACGTTTCGCTTTGTTCGGAGTGGTTGGTCCACAAAAAGAGTGCAATTCAGAAGCTAAAGAAAGGCTTGAATGAAACCCACTGCAGTGGCTGTTTCTCTCCTTTACAAGCCTAATTGATCAATTAATCCTCCAGAGGTGCCCTACAAAACTCTCCAGCAGACTGTCATGAAATACAAATGAACCGCCGCCCCCTTCCAAACAAACCCCCAGAATGATTCATGTGTTGTTCCTCATGGAAATTCAGCAGACTTTCTCAATGCAACCTGACCACTGAGCATCAGATGAGACTAATGAATTCAAGACTTACATTTCAAATTGGCCAGATCCTTCAACAATGCAGTGAGATCAGTTGACCAGATTGGGTTTCAGGGATGCCATACACAGGCAAGATGACAAGCAGCACTGCAAGTTGTCTAGTTACAGTGAAAACGACCAAATATACACACATGAACAGCTTGCATGTGTACAAAAGCATGCTTTTTGAAGAAAAAAATGGGCATTACAGAGAGATACCAGCTACATGGAGGACTAAAGAAAGCAATGCATTGCATTAAGACCGTATTTAGCCGTTTAACGATCAAAATAAAGCAGAAAAGAGCAATAAGTGCACGTTTTGTGATCACAAATCGCAATTTGTCATTAGAAACATTCAAATCTGTCTGGCTAGCTGACTCCATCTCGCTAGCTCTCTTCATTAAAGGCTACATGATCACCCCCAACGCAGCCAGGTGTCATATTGTAAATGCTACGACTGCATACAAATCATCCCAAAGTGAGATAAAGGCATAAAAGAGCGTTAAATGAGAAAAGCGCGAGGATAAACGCAGCGCAATAGCTCCTAGCTCGACGGCTCCGGCCGCCATTTTGGCTCAAGCTCTTATTTACAATCCCGCAGCAGAAACAAAGGAAGCACAAGAAACACATTTTGAGCAGAAACGTCTGGATCAAGCGTCCCCACAGCTCGCCCCAAAACCCCCTTCACTCCCTCCACTGCAGCTCTGAGCTCAATCTGGTCGCATTTCGCTTTTTTATTCAAGTGCAATGCATAAATGTGGCATGGATGCTCGCTTACCCCGGGTTTATTTTAGAAATTCACGCATATTGCGGCATAAAAAATATTTCCACTCCAGCTCTGCCTCACTGTGTGTATTCAAAGAGCAGCCTTTGATGAGCGCAGGCGGCCCCGAATGCGGCCGAGCTCTCGCCCTCCCCTCCCCGCTGCCATATAGTGCTCCGCTGCCGGACTGTGCTGGCGCTGCGCGCGCAGCCTTCCTGCCAAATAGTGCGCCGCCGACCGTTTCGCATCGGCTTTCTTCGGCTGTTTTCGGCACGGCTGGGCGAGGATGTGTGCGCATGCGCAAGCACTGCGACACGAGTTGGGAGACATGACTGTCCGCCTCAAAAACCCAGTGACAATAAAGTCTGTAATTTGATGGGCTATAATTGAGTTTATGAATTCCCTAATAGCCTACGTAGTCTGTTGTATATAGCATGAATATATGATATTATATAGCATTTAAATAAGATGAAAAATTCACTGGAAGTAGGTAAATATTATTGACAGTGTGCTATCCTGAAATATTAGGTATCAAGATGTTTATGAAGATTTTAAGATTTATTATTAAGATTTACTTTAGTTGATTTTATGGAAATTTTCATAAAATCGGATATTGTAAATTATAAGCTAAATACAGAGGGATGTCTGATTTTGGCTTTCTTATTTTTTGCTTTTGTAAGAGATCTTAAAAAGCATGAAATAAGAATATGAAGACGACCACATCAGATAATCAGATAAATAATAATAACAATAAACAATTTAATTATTTATATTTGGGATTGACTATATAAGGGTTGCATATTATATATTCATTACGCAATACATTTTCATAAAATTGTATATATACACACACACACACACACACACACACATGTATATATATATATATATATATATATATTGGATTCACTGTACAAGGGCATATTGATATTATATATGTATTTTATATTTATATATGTTTCACTCTGTAAGGTCAGAAAAGTGTATTTCTAGAATAATTAAAAATATAAAAATAAATATAACAAATACAAATGTAAATTATATATATTTGGGACTGACTGTAAATGTTTGTGTGTTTGTATATATATATATATATATATATATATACACATTTTTTGTAATGAATATTCATTACAGATTTTAATAATTTTAAATATATTTTTTTCTGTAATTAAATTGACCTGCTTTTGTAAGTTTCTTTGAATAAACGCATCTGCTAAATGATTAAATGCAATTGTACAAAGGCAAAATAAGTTTAATGTTATTATGTTATAAATCCTGGACTACCATTTTTTCATAACTGATATCAGGTCAAGGTTCAATTTAGTGACCCGAGGGCCTCACGTTTCTCTCAACTGATATAAAACACAAGCTCGTGGAGAAACATGAAAATAAACGACACGGGTCTTTGGTGGTAAACCTTGGTTTACTTCATCATGTCTCAGAAAAATCTTTTCACATGCGTCACAAATCAGCAATGAGGTCATCTAATGCATTGTGACGTTCATTAACACACACACACACACACACACACACACACACACACGCGCGGTGGAATAACCAAATCATCATCAGCCAGACAAACCCAAATATCTCTCAGTAAGGGAGTGGCATCAAAAATAACGCCGTCTCCCTCTGCGGTTGCCATGGAGACAGTGTCTTCACATGCCTTTGAACTGCTGCATAATGGACAGGAGCTGCTCACTGCGCTTTTGGATATTGCACTGCTCCTCTTTCAGCCGCTCCTGCTCCTGGAGCACCTCCTCCTGGAAGATTCACACCCAATCAATAAATAAGGACCGGTGTGTTGAAATGTTAAACAGCCATCATTCACTCCACGCATAAAATGAGACGTTTGCCAGAGTTTTAAACATGAGTTCAGTGTGAACAGCTCATGTAGAAAGGCTTTTATTTAGATTATTAAGATAAAAAAATAAATTAAATATGAAATTATATATATATATACAGTGGGGCAAAAAAGTATTTAGTCAGATTATTATATACAGAAAATTTATGTTTCATAAAATTGCCCTATATTATGAACATTAAAAATATTTTTAAAAATCTATATTACTGGTATTACAAATATATACTGTAATTAAATATATACTATAAATACATCATTTTTTAAAATTAATTTATCTACTTTTTATCTGATATGGTCAATAATACAATGAAATGAAAAATAAAATAAAAATATTAGATGAAAATTCTGAACTTATTTCAGCCAACTAACTGAAACATAATAAGTTGAATAAAAAGCTGAAGTACTAAAATGACTAAAACTGAAATAAAATAAGGCTAAAATTAAAATTAATTAATAACTAAAATTAAAATGAAAACTAAAAATATAAAAATAAAACCTCAAAATATTAATAAATATTATAAGTGTATGCAAATAATATAACACTGAAATGCAATACAGTCTATTTTTTCACATGTTTTTTTCACAAAAAACTAATATATTTCATATATATACATATGACATGAATTTATATATATATATAAATTCATGTCATATGTCATTTTCTATATGTGGTTTTATTTAAAGGAATAGTTCATGCAACAATAACAAAAAAATTCTGTCACTAATTACTTACAGACAACAATCAGACAGTGAATGCTACAGTATGAAAACAGTTATTCAAAGATTAAACTGCTCAAAACAAGCTGGTGTCTCCATCTGACAGCAGTTTGTCTGAAGTGAATGTCACACACCCGTAGTTTACACAGCTCCTTCCTCTCCCTGTCGTTCTCGTCTGCTCGCGCACGCAGCCAGGCCTCGTTCTGAGTCCTGTGTCTTTCCAGCATATCCTGAAGTTCCTGTCCAATCACAACCGCAAGTTTCCTTCAGTCATTGTGAAGACCAAGAGCAAACACATCCAAGAAAATCAATCGCATGACATGAGTTTGACCAGCAGCACCTGTTTCTGTCTCAGCAGATGCTGGTTCTGAGCGTCGCGCTCATTCTGTAGAGCCTCTGTGTCCCGCGCAAGTGCTTCCTTTTCTCTATTTCAGATGAGAGCAGATTTTTTGCTTTATAAGATGTCTTTTTAGACAGTTAACGTGAAATAAACAATAAGGCATAACCTCTACCTGTCTAGTTTTTGGAATTCCTCATCTAACATGGCAAAAGCTTTGTGGATCATGTTCATGGCCTCGTCACGAACGGCACTGAAATCTCTATGAGCGCTCGCCTGGATGAAAGCGACATGAGTTTGATGCATTGGTTACAAAATCCTATATTGCCTTACATATAAAGATTTATCTTTAAGGCTAAAATCTCCACTGTTCAAAGTTTAGGGTCGGTAAGATTTTTAAAAACTGGTTTCGAAAGAAGTCTCTTCTGCTCACCAAGGCTGCATTTATTTGATCAAAAATACTGTAAAATTCTGAAATATTATTATCATTAAAAAGAACAGTTTTCTATGTGAATATCTGTTAAACTGTAATTTATTCCTGTGATCAAAGCTGAATTTTCAGCATAATTACTCCAGTCTGATGACACGTGATATGGATTACGTAATCAGATTCCAAAAATGAAGTACTCATAATTAAAATAAAATAATTCTAAAATGCTCATAATCAGATTACAATGGCAGCAAAATATTCAAATTCTTCCTTTTTCTCTTTAAAATGTTCATTACTGCGTAGCTTTGAAGACTTTGGGTGTGCAATCATGTCATTGCTGTTTTCATGCTTATTAATGTTTGCTCATGTAATGCAGGGATTCCCCTTTTTTCAGCCAAACCTGAATTAATTATTCGCTTTTTATCAACTCAATCAAACCCACTGCAATTCTTTCACTAACACCAAGTTTGGGAAACCGTGGAGTAATGTAATGCATTTAATGATGCTGATGTAAAAAAAAATGGATTGTATTTTCTTTCTGCTTTTTTTTTTACAACAATGCGGTACATTTAATGGTAAGTTTAAAACAAGTACTCAGAATGCATGACCTAAAATGAGTAACCTTGATTACTAACTAAACTTTTCAACATGTAATCTGTAATCAGTCAGTAATTTCAGCTCAAGAAACATTTCTGATTATTATCAGTGTTGAACACAGTTGTGCTGCACAATATTTTTGTGGAAACCGTGACGCATTTTGTTTTTCAGGATTATTTAATGAATTGAAGTTTCATTTGTAACATGATAAATGTCTTTACAGTCACTTGTGATCAATGTAGTGCACTGGAGTGTGTGTGCCGTTTGTAACGGAGGTGTGTGACGTCGATCACCTGAATGTTTTCACTCCTGTAGCTCTTCACGGTCACTGGAGACTGACTCAGCTCGTATTTCACATTGGGAATCTTTGTCGGGGCGAAGCTGATCAAGCAGAAATGATTTGAATAACAGAACGTTACTTTCATGTGAAACTGGTAACGAAAGCCGTGTTTTAGTCAGAGAAACACACCCACCTATTACTGACACCCTGCAGTCCAAACTCAGACAAAATCTCCTTCATCACTGTACGACAATCACGGATCAGAGTCAGATGAAATGAATACAGATGAGTGGTATTTACAGTAGGAGTCAGAGAGGAGCGTTACTTACCTGGCTGTCTCTCTGAGGGGTTTATTAACTTCATTATTTTCAAGTCATTAAAATCTTGTTCTTCATTTTTGCCTCCAAACACATAAATCTGCAACCAAGCAGAAATACACTCACTTAAAAGCAATAAAGTTAGATTTGAGATACTGAACACAGGTTTGACGTGTCTTACACATACTAGTGCCGTTATTGCTAACTAAAGCAAAGCTTTTAAAAATCGTTTTGGTATATGATATATATATATATATAT